CGTCCAGAACGGGTTTTCTTAGCGGGCTCGATAGAAGGTTCGGTAGCTGTCGCTGTGCTAGTGACTTCATCGATGTCTAAACGATCTTCTGTTACTTGTGGATTTTGGGGTACGTTGAGCTCTATGCTAATAGGATTACCCTCCAAGTAAGCCGGTTTCAGACGGTCAATGCTGACGGTGTCCTCGCGGCCGTTTTTCTCCAAGACAAAGAATTTATCAGAACGTTTAATTACTTTATAAGGTCCGTCGTATGGGGGTTCCAGGGGTCTGCGCACAGAGTCGCGACGAACAAATACATGTGAAGAAGTTTTCAAACACGGATGAACAAAAACATCAATGGACTGTGGACGAAGGGGAGCAGGTTTAACTGAACGCATTGCGTTTGTAAGCCTGCTGACGTATGAAGCGTGATCTACCACTGGTGGGAAGCTCGAGGGAGAAACAAATTCACCAGGCAGTCGCAGTGTCGTGCCATATACTAGCTCGGCGCTAGTACAACCAGCATCGGTTTTCAAGGCGTTTCGTATCCCTAGGAGAACTAACGGAGGGATTCAGTCCAATGGGTGGTGTTTGCAGCTGACAGACCAGCTTTCAGCTGTCTGTGTAGACGTTCTACCATACCATTAGCTTGAGGATGGTAGGCTGTTGTTCGAAAACGCATGCAACCTATGATTTTAGTCAGGGCGAAGAATAAGCCACTTTCGAATTGCCGCCCGCGATCAGTTGTTATGGAAGATGGGCATCCAAAGTTAGCGATCCATCTTTCTACGAAGACGCGTGCGACTGTTTCAGCAGATACATCCTTGATGGGTACTGCTTCCGGCCATCGTGTGAATCGATCGATGCAAGTTAAAATATAGGCATATCCATGGGATTCAGGAAGGGGTCCAACCAAATCTATATGGACGTGTTCGAAACGAGCGTCAGGGAGAAGAAAGGTGCCAAGTGGGCTTTTGGTGTGTCTTATCACCTTGCACTTTTGACAAGCTAAGCACGTGTGTCCCATTCCCTTACTTCTTTATTAATGCCAGGCCAACAAAACCGACTAGTTACGAGCTTGACAGTAGTTCGAATACCTGGGTGAGATAAGCCATGCAACGTATTGAAGACGTTACGGCGATAACTTTTAGGCACGATGGGGCGAGGAGTACTCGTGGAAATATCGCATAGAATAGTATCTCTTCCCATACCTAAGGGTTTCTCAGCTAATTGTAGAGTTGTTTTCGACAACTCATGTTGAAGCTCGGTATCTTCTTTTTGAAGACGAGCCAGTTTTACAAGGTCTATGCCGTCGATTTGGGTGAGGGAACAAACGCGCGACAAGGCATCTGCCACAGTGTTGTTTACTCCGGATACATGGCGAATATCTGATGTAAACTGTGAGACGTAATCCAGTTGTCGTGATTCCCTGGGTGAATACTTATCTGAAGGTGAGTTCAGAGAGTACGTCAGAGGTTTGTGATCCGTAAAAATTATGAATTCACGACCCTCTACCGAATGTCTAAAATGTCGTATAGCACAGTACATAGCCAGAAGTTCTCTGCCGAATGTGCTGTACTTCGTTTCAGAAGAAGGCGAGTGGTTGCCACTCTTTGTCAACTAGCTGTTGTAGAACTGCGCCGATTGCAGTGTTTGATGCATCAACCGAGATACTTAACGGTGCCGTTGGATCCTGATACATCAGAAGTGTGGCATTCGCAATAGCTTTTTTAATCTGGGTAAAAGCATTTCGAGCAGACGCGTCAAGTTCTATGGACTTGTTATTCCCTCGAAGGAGGTCTGTCAATGGCTGAATCAAAGAGGCACAGTTGGGAATAAAGCGTCGATAATAACTTACTAAGCCGTTAAAAGTGCGGAGACTTTTCACCGTCTGTGGCTCTGGAAAGTTCAGTATAGCCTCGACCTTAGTAGCCAGTGGGCGAATGCCCTTGCAGTCAATAGTGTGACCCAGAAAGTCGAGTGAGTCAACACCGATTTGACACTTTTGAATATTAATGGTAACACCATGTTGGCGTAACCTGTCAAATGCCAAGTCCAAGTGCCTAAGGTGAGTTTCCTTGTCTGGACTGGCAATGAGGCAGTCGTCTAAGTATGCGTATACAAAGTCGAGACCGCGAAATACTTCGTCAATGAAGCGTTGGAATGTTTGGGCTGCATTCCGGAGACCGAATGGCATACGTAGAAATTCAAAAAGTCCGAAAGGCGTAATGATAGCCGTTTTCGGGATATCTTCTGTTGCCATCGGGATTTGGTTATACGCTTTAACCAAGTCGATTTTGGAGAATATAGTCGCGCCGGATAAGGTTGCCGTCAAGTCGTGTATATGAGGCAACGGGTAGCAATCAGGGGTTGTTTTGGCATTCACTCGCCGGTAATCACCGGTGGGTCGCCAATCGTTGCTATCCTTTTTCGGAACCATATGAAGTGGGGATGCCCATGGGCTATTCGAAGGTCGAATGATGCCAAGGCTAAGCATATGGTCAAATTCATTCCTGGCGATTCTCAGTTTGTCAGGAGCTAATCGTCGTGCTTTAGATGTCACAGGTTGTCCTGTGGTAATGATGTGGTGCATAACATTGCTGGTTATGCACGGTAGGTCGTTCGACGGGCAATTAAGTTCCGGATACTTGTCAACAATAGGTTGAAAAGTTGGATCAAGAATTGCCTTTATCTTAACGGGTGACAAGCTAGGGCCTATGTAGCTGATGCCTTTGATAGACAGACTAGTAGTATTGTCAATCAGTCGTTTTCGGCGGACGTCTACGAGTAAATCATGATGATTAAGTAGGTCCGTGCCAATGATGGGCATTGTAACGTCAGCGAGAAGGAAAATCCATCGAATAGGTTTGCGTAAACCTACGTTCAGATAGACGTATTTTCTACCAAAGGTTGCGATTGGTTTTCCATTTGCAGCCTGTAAGTTGAAGGTAGGTTCCTTCTGTCGATCTGCTGCTGTAGCAGGAAGGACGCTGACTTCGGCGCCTGTGTCGACTAAATATCGAGTCTGGCTAATCACATCATGGATGTAAAGAAGGCGGCTAGTGCCACCGGCGACGGTTGCTGCTAACGCGTGCCGGCGGGTTAGTTGATGGATCGAGTTGCATAACTCTATCATTGCAGGATCCTTACTCGAAGTCTGCTTAGTCATCGAGCATATTTCGGGAACAAGCCGTTTAGTTATTTCTAGAATCCTATCTGCAGTAATAGCTAAGTCCTCTATTACATTACCCTGAAGTGTCACAAGTACGGTCTGTACAGACTGTGGCAACTTGGTTAAGAAGAGTTCTCTAAACAGTCCTTCGTCGAACTGACTTTGGCCGACGACTTGTTTCATTCTTGTCAGCATGCTCACGGCTGACTGATCTCCTAACTCGATGTTACGAAATAATTCATCCAGACGTTGTCGGTCCGTGAGAACGTTTCTCCTGAGGAGGGATGCTTTGAGCAACTTGTACGAGTTGCTTACCTCGGGACTGAACATCTGTGATTTTACATACAAAGCAAAAGCCAATATTTGATCGTCCAAACTACGTGATATATTTCGGGACCAAAACAAACCGTAAGACAAACGCTTAGCTGGCTAGTGATCGTGCACGTGACACGACGGGGTACCAAATGGCGGGGATGCTTGACCGGAAGCCTTCAGCTAAACAAGTCGACTTAAACAGTGGTGGTCAGCATCCAATGAGTGATTGCTGTGGTCAATAATTTTGGGGAATTATTTACCGCTACAACAGCAATAATAACATCATCCATGTTCATAGTGACTATAAAAACAATAATAGGTATTATTATCGCAACGAATTCATCATGAACTTAGATAGACAACTGATAACAATACAATCATATCAAATAAATGTATCACTTAATCTTAAGAAGCATGTGTTTACTTACTTTCACTGTATTCTATCAATACTGATGTGCTCAACAAGCTTATTCCAACTGAATTTAAGATTAATTCTGAAAGTGAATGGAGATCCATTTAACGTCAAATAAAAACATGTAACTTGCATGTAATACACTACTTACTGAGACATCTGGTACCTGCTTTCCGATCTTCGTGACAAGAAGAGAGTTTATCTAGGTTTACCTACATACACAAAAGTATACCATGCCGTTTTTATCATGATTAGCCAGACCACTGTGTATATTATACTTATTTAAGGATCTCTGAAAATAATGGTCAAGCGATAATTGAAGTTGCTTGAAGTTATCACCTCTTCGGAACACTGGATGCATTCTTGACACTCCTACGTAGTCCTTAAATCTTGATATGAGATGAATTCATTGAATTCAGCAAATAAATCCACTGCTATATCATTTCTCTCCTGAGCTGTAATAATTTGTGTTGTTAATTATCTCTCCAATTTGATAAAACGCTCACGGAAATTCAGAACTTAACCAAGCAGCAAAATGATGTTTGAAATTACCCTAACTCGAATGACAAACTGGCCAATCACAAGCGAGCGAATCGCTTGCTTATCTCATTCGCGGTCACTCAAAATTACGGCCGTCGACAGGCTGCCCGACAGGCTGCCAAGTTCTATTTTGTCCGATCACTAGTTAAACAGCTATTTCATATACCCGAGATGCAACAAACAGCGGTCATCATCAATAGGAGGAATGTAAAGGAAGTCGCCAACTACAAACAGGCGGCACGGATGATGATGTCAAAACAAGATAGGTGCATGCGTAGGTGCACCTACGCAGAAATGAACATGTTCATTTCTGCGTAGTCAGTGTAGAGATCTATAGCACCAGGAACGGGATCTGAATTTATAACGCTGATGTCAAGTTTTTGCTTGCATATAGTTCGAAGACTTGGTGCATTGCGAAAGCATTTCAAGCAAACTGACTGCAGACTCCCATCAACAGCTGCCTCTGCTCCATATTGAAGATCTGATGGTCAGAAAGGATAAGCAACAAAGAACACTAACAGGGACCCAGCATAGAACTGACCGCTTTACAAACATACAGACGGATTTAGAGATGGATCGGGATTATACTGATAAGATCGTTGGAATATATCACATGCTCAGTTGTCGAATAAAACCCTATTTGAAAACAATGCGTTTGGCGTGAAGGTGGGCCATGAAAATCGTGTTAAAAAGGAATGAAATTTTGTGGGTAGTCGTGGAGCCAGTTAAATATAATTGTAGAGAACTGAGCAGAGTGGTGGTGTACCTATGAAGTCCTACTTTGAAATAGGAACGATAGTAATAAACAGCTAATTTGGGGTGATGCATTTCGACTGTGCTACAATAAAACTTATGGCTTACTGATGGGTTAGTATTATGGTGTAGAGGAAACACTTTTAATAGTCAACAAGCACTTAACACATGTGAAGAGTGGTTACTGCTGATGTTTGTGCAACACCAAAAAAAAGAATTACTTGGCGCAGACATAGTATAAAACATTCTGATATCAAAATAAAAGCTTCGTACCAGTGGTTCTCAAAGGAGTAAGATTATAAAGACCTGAAACGATCTTCTACGACAAATATCGCGTGAAAATACAAAGCAAATCCTATAAATAAGTACTGATTCATGTCTGAGGGAAAATCCACTGGGTTGGGGGAAAATACTTTGCGAATCTGCAGATAGACTAAGTTTTGATAATGTACGCGGCAAACCCCTGAACAAGCTTGGACACTATGCGGTGAAACATTCTCTTCTGGTCTGACACCAAAAGTCATCCTGCCTTCCATATACCAGAGCGCTGTTCTCCTTGTTCGTTAGCTGACAACTTTAAAAGGTTACATTATTACTCTGTCTTATGTTTTCCAACCATTCCTTGGCAAAACAATCAAATCTAAGGGACCGCTTTTATTGCTGGGACTAACAGTTCGTTGCTCGTCTTATCTTTATCCAAGTTATCTTGTTGATGTAAGTTAATATTACTGTACAACACTGTGTGATTTATCGAAATAAAATCTTGTCCTTAATGGAGTTACCTTGTTGGTTTCATTCTTTAGTGCCGGTGACGATGCTCAATCTTTCCCTCGATTGCTAGCTTATATTCACCCCTTTCTCCGTCCAGATTCTTGCATTCGTTTCGTAATGTAGTCATTCATGTTAATCTGTTTTGCGTAATAATCGTATTTTGTTTAGTAATCTAGTCATATGAGAGTAGCGTACATACTAAACAGGATTTATTTTGCCTTTATAGCCATGCTTTGTTGTCTTGAAGAAGAATTGAAATCAATAGAAATTATTTTGGGAAGCTCTTCGCCACGCCGGAAGGAATTACTTCAAAACACTGTAAGTCATTGTTAACATTCTTTACAGCTAGTCATCAGGGTGTTCAGTTCTCCACTATTAGTCCTGATATTGAAGAGTCACTACCTTTAGGACACTTTAAGTCAATACCAGAATATATTGAAGCTTTAGCTCAGTTAAAAGCTGATGCAGTAATGAAGACTATTGTTGGTAGCGGGGTTTGTCAGCTTTCATTTTCTTCTACATTAGCAATAGCAAGACAGGGTAGTGATTGGTGCTGATACTCTAGTATGTTTTGAAGGTTGTGTTTTCGGAAAGCCATCGAGTCAGTCAAATGCGATAGATATTCTGAATCGGTTTGTTTCACATGTTAAACTCATAAATTCTTCTAGTTTAAGCGGAAATATTCATCAAGTGATTACTGGTGTATGTTTGATTTGGACTGTAGCTGGCAAACAGCATAAAGTGGATTTATTTCATGAAGTAACAAATGTTAAAATGGCCAGTTTGGATTGTCGAACCATCGAGGCGTATGTACAGTCTGGAGAACCAATGTATGAGGTTTTCATGCGAAAATACTATAATCTTGTTAGTGTATTGTGGAGATGATTGTCGAAAAGGCAAATTAAACACAGGACTTTTCTTTAGTCCCTCAATACTAGACAAATAATACTCCTCCCGTATCAGTATAATTGTGCTACACCACTATGGTTGTACACATAAATACTGGCTATCATATTATGGCCACTACTTCAGAAAATTGTTCAGTAATTTTTGTCTGATTTATTCCTAGCTGTTAATCAGTAGGTGCATTACATTCATCTCAGTCAGGCTTCTAAAGACTTACAAAGGAATTTGATTCAAATATAGATTAGTCGTGTTTTGAATTTAAATAACTTAGTAGTTAAGGAAAGATACTATCAACTTATCATACGATTCGCCAAATTAATGTACCTGCAAAATAACGGACAGATACTGTTCATAAAAAGACTTTAGTGAAATCTGGTGTAAGAATATTGTCTGACGTTCTCTTAAACTTCGGTGATTTTATATCAATGTCTATTGATGCGGTATTGCTTAAGAGAAATATGGGTGTAATGTCCTACTAAAGTAGTAATCTTACGATTCATTTAAAGTTAGAACTTGAATGTCTTACCGATGTGCAGTTATTTATTTGATGTCACACCGTATTTCACATAATGATTTTATATTTGAATTTTGTTACCCTACTATTTAAAAGGTTTTTAATGTTTGTTTTTTGTGAATGTTGATCTAATTTCAGGGATAAAGCTGGTGCTTATGGAATTCAAGGTTTGGGTTCAAGTTTAATAGAAAAAATCGATGGAGATTATTTCAATGTCGTTGGCTTGCCTGTTTATCGTCTGTGCCAGTATTTGCGAGCTGGATGCAAAGACATAAATTCTTTGACTCATAAAGATGCTGAGTATAGCTGACTAATAGCCGACTGTATCTTTGCGAACTTGGACAGTAATGAATACTTAGTTATCCAACAGGCTCAAGATTTACCCTAAGAGAGATGTGTAAAAATCATGTCCAGTTTCTTTCCAAATGTAAAAGTATCCGAAATATGAGGCATTCTTTTTACCCTTACTATAAATACAGAAACTGGGTACTACTGTAAGGTGTAATTCCACAGTAAAATAACAAAAATAATAGCAGAATATGAATATCCATATGAATTATTCCGAACAAGAATAAGTATACCCGGAAGTCGTTTCTATAGGTTATTCAGGCTCAACAGTTATAAACTCATAAATTTTAGCAAATAGTGGCTAGTAAAAATAAACTAGAATCACAAGAGAAACAATATCGTGCTACGTGTACCAGATGGAGTGACAGTTTTAATTGTCATTTGAGCGTATATAAAATGTTTAGTTACTAAGTACATGAAATAAAATAAGATTAAATAAATGAATAGTGTTTGGAATAAAGTGGTTATTTCTATCACTGGACACTAGTCAGTAACTAGTGTAATGTGTCTAGTCCTATCTTTTGTGCAGACTGAATTCTATCAGTCAAGTTTGCAATGTGGCCATCTTGCTAGGTGACTCGCCAACACGGTGCATTGTAAATTGTTGGTATTAAATGGTTGGAGGCAATCGGCAGGAGGCCTTGGAGCTAGTTTTCGTGCTAGTTGGTGCTTATCAGCAAGGCGTATCTGCAACCTCGAAGGAACTCATGTCCTTTCTGAAGTTCGAACCCGCATCACCTGGTTTCAGGAACTTAAGTAAAGTCCGTGGAATCTAGGATGCCGATTTCATCCTACATGCAACTAGTAAACTAGGTGTACTACTAACCACTGTCAATCACATAACATCATGTTAATATTCGGACGTCGAACTGATGCGTCAACCCGGATAGTCTTTCAATACTATATAGTCTGTCAACGGGGCTGGTACTGGTGAACACGGTTCCCAACACATTAAACTTTGTTTACTGCTGCTAACTTTGGTTTGATTTCACGATCAACACTGGAATTAGTGCTGTTTCTTGTTATCAGAAATGTATGCCTCTCAACGAATGGGGGACTGAAAGCTCCTGCTTGACTTTTTGGCGTTATATGTCCGTATTTATTTATTTATCACTTTATCAAAGTGATAGTAAGTCAGAATTCAGAAAAACTTAGCTTGAATATGTGTCAGCTCAGTTGAAGTTTCTTTGTGTAGAATGATTAACCGCTTTCTTACACATGAAATGTGACTTCATGCGAAAGAACTTGTGAATTCTAATATACTGTTTTTTTTGTTAAGGCTATGACCACTAACTGTCGAAACATCCATGTAGACCACGTTTTGTTTTTCCACTCACAGCAAAGTATAAATTTCTAATAACGACGAATACTATTTAGGCAGTACCTACGAGTTAGTTTGTAGGGATTCGATTTGTTTCATACTTGGTCACAGATTGATGACACCAGTCTGAAATGGCCTCTGAAAAATACAGAACTTTGATAAATTCCACAACAAAATAGCTGAAATGCTGGGCAGAATATTTCCACCGGCCTGCAGCCACCCACTACTCGAGGTCTGAATAGGAAATGGATAGTAGCCTTCTAACGCAAGTTGTGACTACTATATCAAAATGAAGAATGCATAGCCAGGCAGCAAGTCATGATGGTTTGATTAAGGAGAGCAGTAAAGGAGTTCTGGCTAGAATAATTTAGATCACATCAGATTTTGGGGATCCGGAAGGTTGGTCATTTGTAGGGAGCGGGGATTTCCATTGCAAACCAGACAAAGATCAACTTAGCTGACGCAGTATCTAAGATTATACAGTCCAAAGTTATTCTAGGATTATGCACATCAAACCTCAATGTATAAGGCTAGTTTAAGACTAAAAGAAATGTTTCGATCTAATGTTTGCCTTTCTTATATGTTAATCTGCATAACTGAAGAAACTGATAAGAGCGGATCCAACGGTGATCGTGTGCGTAGGTGGCACAGTGGTTAGGACTCTCGCCGACCATGCACATGGTCCGGGGTTCGATCCCCTGCCGACGCACACCTGATATCTATGGTCGGCCTGCAAAATTTGGGCTACCGATATCCATGCTGAAAATGCCATACTTGTACCAAAAAATACGGTGTGGAATCAAGCTATAATCAAAAAATAATAATTAAGGTATTCAATGAAGAAGTCATATAGAATCTCAGAAGCCTTCCGATGTCATTATAAAATGTAGAAATAAACAGAGGGTATAACGATAGGATCCCCTAGTCTCAGCAGCCTCATCTGTGATAATATGACATCGGGTCTTTTAAAACGTATAATCTCACTTCAAAGATGGGGTGGAAATATATCAAAGAAGATGTGATGTACAAATCTGCAGTCATTTTACAAATAAGCACTATAGTATGTGGGATCAGACTTACCTTTAAAACAGAAAATCAACATGGAAGTTGTAAAAGAAAAAGGGAAGAAGGTATTTTATGTGTTGGCCGACATTTTTTGAGAAAAACTGTCACGTTATTTTTGATAGCCAAACTTTAGTTGATTCTAGACCATATCAAAAGGTAATTAGTGTTTACTGAAGTGCGGACAATGTATGATAAAGTTTCAACAGAGGAGAAAAACCGCCGTCCAGTAGTGAAGAACTTCAAAGGTGTGGATGAGTACTGAAAGAAAATAGTAATCGTAACATGAACAAGCTGAAATTCGAATCCTACTGTATTGCTTGATGAGGAATAAACATCCAGATCTCCCATGTGTGAAGCTTAAACTAGAGTAACAAACACACGATATATTCACGCTTATGCTGTCCACTAAACAATGATATAAATGAAAATGAAGCGCATTATTCAAGTTCCATATACATCTAAAATAATTCCATATTTATAGCTTTGAAAGTTATTCTGTTTAAAGGAATTAGAGTACTACAGGAATAAAAGTTTGAAAATGAACAATGAAGAGAAGACACAATTTTTGAAAAAAATAAACAAAAACTTTTTTCGAAGAATCCGGTAAACTCAAACAGCAAAACCACAGATCATACACGTGCAATTAAAGCATATCGGGACATTAATGATTCAAACAGAAGTGGTTAAGTGAGGTTAAAGTAACATCACGAAGTATTAATGTGTTGGTAAGTGAACATCTAACAGCCATAGTTTATTTCTGAGTATGTCCTCTTAAATATTTGAGAAATAGACTAGTCTGTATGTTATGTAACGCCTCATGTTAATGTATTCTGACCAATACAAAAAACTTAATCAGCGGGTCTGTTAGATTTATGTAAACCAGTAGACTGACTTAAAGACATTCACATTTTCAAGTAAAATATGCTAGTTTTTTTTTTAAGAAAGCAGCTTATTTAAGTAAATACATTTTAAAATGTCTTAACTAAACAAAAGAAAGGACAAGTACCGCCCTTTCAAAATGGCATACGGTTAGCTGTGGAAGCTATGCTGAAATAAGCCGAAGTGCGTTTAATAAAATGATTCCACAATTTCAAAATTAAGGAATACCCAGGTGACCATCTCTCCATCTTGGTAACTATAAAATAAATGGTTACAGATATTTAGAAAAGATACTATGACTACCTGTGTTGCAAAATTGTTCGCCTAAAGCTTTCATCGTTTGACTTGGGAATCTAACCTTTACTGTCGACTGGTTGGGTTGATGATGCTAGGTAAATCATCCTTCCGATTTGACATGCTGTTGTGTTGCGTTCGGTTGTTGGTGTACGATCTTTGCTTAATCAATTACGCATCCGTGCTCAACATTAGAGATCCATAAATATGTTTCTTATTTTGAACGATTTAATCTGTCTTACCAACTGTATTTTGATCTATATCGAATGAATACTTTGTGGCTTGAAGGATAAAACACTTGTCCCATCGTATTATGTATGCACGCTGAAATCGTCTCCTAATCTAGTTAACATTCTTTGAAGATATATGAATGAAACACCAATAATAATAAGACAGATGGACAGTGAGAAATTCTATTTTTATATAACAGTCATGCAGAACCAAAGTAAACGAAAAGAAGTAAACATATAGTGATAATAAACATCATTAGACTGAGAGAAAAGATATCTGGTTTTCAAGTAGGTCCCCAATAAAGGCACTGCATGCATCTTTGAAGTGCATGTTACTTAGATTCATTCACTTTGGCTAAGTGAATACGGCCCCTTAGAACATTAATTGAATAAAATCGAGAAAAACAGAAGGTAAATTTCTGAGTGGATGTTCAAAACACTATGAGAAAATCAAAGAAAGGTTGTCATGTACATTATTATGCGCCTTCGTAATTACCGATGGTCGGAAATTGATCTACTTCGGACTTTGTAATTAAGCAGATTATTTTGTAAGGCAGAACCAGTTTGGGAGTTGAATACTTCATAAATACTGCATATTTTATCGCATCTGACAGTTGTCCCTCCATTCCGATCCTCTTTAAATTTATATTAATCGATTACTGGTGTCTTTTCAACAGTAATTCACTTCTCCTTACTCATGCCATGTCTACAGTACTGCTCTACATGTTGTTTCCCGTATTAATTATTCAGAAAACATTCATTTATCAGCAGTACACACCCACTGGGTTTCGAACCCAGGACCTTCCGGTTACAAGGCAAGCTCGTATACCATTCACCCACTGGGACCGATTCAATGGCTCGTGAATTCTAACTTCTACCAATTCGTGATTTAGCGCGACCCCAACCGGAAGGTCCTGGGTTCGAAACCCAGTGGGTGCGTACTGCCGATGATTCCCAAACTAGGATGAAACAGCAGCTGTCCAGTACTCCCTGGTCTTCAATGGTTCTCTAACTGATATCAATCCGTGATCAACTCGTAAAACATAACTAATCCTTACAAACCAAAACTATAGAAAATTCATTTATCAGCTTTGTTGTCGTTTTCGAATGTTTCTTAGGATCAAAGCTTCTCTGTACTCTGGATTAATATCTTCACTAAACCTCTCGTAAATTACACGATAATGTGTTGAAGTTTAGGCATTACTGACTCCGTCTAGTTTAACAGGATAGATCAAGAATTTAATATTAATAAACAAGTTTGTTAGTTTTTAGTCAAGCGAACTGTTGTCAGTTTTAC